GGGACGACACTCGCGGGGGGGGGGGGGGGGGGGGCACCGCACCGGAGAAGAGAAGAGCGCACCAGGGGGGTGAGGCGGGAAACCGAGAAAAGGGGTTCAAGGTTTACCTCGGACGCACGAAAATTAAATGAAAAACAGAAAAGGTGTCAGATCGACGGCGGCTGAATTTATCCCCGGTGATGATAGTTCGAGCTCGAAAACGATATGACGGGGCATGCTTTTCGTGGGAGGCTGGTCGTATCTCATATCTCGCCCTACGATATTTTGACCTCTAAAAAGAGATGACCGGGCATAATGCTTGCGGGACGGTGGTGGTATCTCATACCTCGCCCTATCAACCAATCGGAGAGTAGGTCTTTCATGTTTCGGGCTGCTCTCTCGGTTTCACCCGAAAACATACTATGCATACCATCGGGGGAGTGGTTGCGTGCTGCTCAAAGTGTCTTGTAGCCTACATGCTATGCGTGGTGGTGGGCGTATATATTGTGCCGTACTACATCTTGCGGTACAGCAGTAGTAGTAGCTCACCTGAGCATACATGGCGTAGAGCTGGTTGGAAACGTTCCAGTGGTCCTCCCTGGTCATTCCCTCCCCGATGGCCGACTTCATCAGACGGGAGAGCGACGGGAGCACGTTGATGGGGGGGAAGATCTCCTTGGTGTGCAGCTGCCTGTCCAGGTAGATCTGGGGAAGGAAACAAAAAACAGAGGGAGGGCGGAGAGAGAGAGAAAGCAACAAAGAGAGAATAGAGAGACAGGGAGCGAGAGAGAAAGAGAGAGAGGCAGATAGACAGAGAGGGAGAGAACGAGAGACAGCGAGGGAGAAAGAGGGAGCAAACACAAGGTAGCGCGTGATCAACCAATCGTCTGGCTCTACAGCAGGGCTCGCAAGACGCTACAATAGGATTTGCGAGATACGAAAGCGGGCGGGAAAACCGGCAAATACTACCGCAAAACACCTGAACACAGGACGTTTTATGACGGCTTAAAGTCTTGTCAACCTGGTGCATGTGTCTGGGTAAGACTGCTGTCTCACCATCTCTAGAGAACACGAGCGCTCGCACACCTACTAATAGCGAAAACGAGAACTTGCACAACAACGAGAAACAAGACCAAGTACAACTAAAATAGCAATATGGTAAAGCCGTCAACGCGAAACAAGATAAAGATCAAGATTCCACAACAACCAGATCAAGATTCCACAACAACCAGATCAAGATTCCACAACAACCAGATCAAGATTCCACAACAACCAGATCAAGATTCCACAACAACCAGAACAAGATTCCACAACAACCAGAACAAGATTCCACAACAACCAGAACAAGATTCCACAACAACCAGAACAAGATTCCACAACAACCAGATCAAGATTCCACAACAACCAGATCAAGATTCCACAACAACCAGAACAAGATTCCACAACAACCAGAACAAGATTCCACAACAACCAGATCAAGATTCCACAACAACCAAATCAAGATTCCACAACAACCAGATCAAGATTCCACAACAACAACAACACAGGAAAGACCGCGTGGACACGATACAGAACAAGCCTAAGCACGTGTGGACACGATTCAGAACAAGCCTAAGAACGTGAGGACGCGATTCAGAACGAGACAAAGAACACGGCCAAGACTAACGACAACATCAACACATGAGGACTAGGACAGGTGCATCTCTCACCTGACCCTCCGTGATGTAGCCCGTCAGGTCGGGGATCGGGTGAGTGATATCGTCGTTGGGCATCGTCAAGATGGGCAGCTGTGTGATGGACCCGTTTCTCCCGGTAACGCGACCAGCCCTCTCGTAGATGGTGGACAAATCGGTGTACATGTACCCGGGGTAACCACGGCGACCGGGGACTTCCTCGCGGGCGGCGGACACCTGAAAATAAAAATAAAAAAAGGATTGCGTGAAAATGTTAGCACGTCGTCAGGCGTTGCTGCTGTTGATATCGTGCTCTGTCTCTGTCTCTGTCGGTCTGTCTCTCTCTCCCTCTCTGTGCGTGTAAGATACCACGCGCCCCCGGATCGATTTTCAAAGCCTGATTACCCTGCAGCACAAACAGTCGGGACCGACCGTCTCGTCGAGAGCTTTCCGAACACAAGCGGATCGTTCGTTTCTGGCATCCTCCTCATCGTGGAGCAATCGAGATTTAAAAATCGGTCCAGGATTGTGTGGCATCTTATGCATGCTACGGTACTCTCTGTCTCCCTGTCTCTCTGTCTCTCTGTCTCTCTCTCTCTCTCTCCCTGTCTCTCTGTCACTCTGTGTCTCTCTGTCTCTCTGTCTCTGTCTCTCTGTCTCTCTCTCTCTCTCTCGGAGCCTGAGCACCCCTCTCACCTCACGCAGAGCGTCGGCGTACGACGACATGTCGGTAAGGATAACGAGCACGTGCAGGTCGCGCTCGTAGGCCAGGTACTCGGCGGTGGTGAGTGTCAGGCGAGGCGTGATGATACGCTCGATCGTCGGGTCGTTGGCGAGGTTGAGGAATAGGGCCGTCCTTTGCATGGCGCCGCTTTCCTCGAAATCGTTACGGAAGAATTTGAGAAAAGGCGGCGATGGGTGACAAGATAACCAGCAGGCGGGTTGTGAGGGCACAGGGCGCGGGTGGGGGGGGGGGCAGGCTAGACGTTCGAGAAAAGGGACCCATAAAATGAACTTTACAGTGAATTGAGGTGGCGTACGGGAGGGGACAGGCTAGGCTACATTCGGGGGAAAAGGAGCGAATCTGATTAATTTTACAGCGGGTGTTTGGGGGGGGGGTAGTGGGGGCATAGGCTCGATGCCAGCGAAAAGGAGCGGACTTGATGATCGTCACAGCGGTTGCGAGGGTGGGGCGGGGACACACAGGCTAGATTTCGGCGACGACTGAGCGAAAAGGATGAGCAACGGCCGCAACAACAAATCACGATGACAACAACAACTGCAAGGGGAGAGGGGGGGCAACGCCATTTGTTTCTTTCCGGTGACCTCCACCCCCCCCCCCCCCCACCCCTGTCCCGTCCGTAACACGCACGCCTGCTCACCGTGCAGTTTCCATGTTAACACCCATGGCTCCGAAGACGATGGCGAAGTTGTCGTCGTGGCTGTCGAACACGTCCTTCTGCTTCACCAAAGAAGCCTGCATGCGAAAAAACACACACAACAGAGGGATAGAGCGTGCGCGCGAAGGAGGACGACAACAAAAAATCGGTCATGCGAGCAAAAACAGAACCCTCGTACCACTTCGAACGAAAAAAATAAAAAAAAAAAAGTAAGTACCAAAAACATGAATCGCCGACAGGAGTTGGAATCCGCTGCCGCAACTAACACCCTACAAATACCCAACCCCAGCAACGGCATGTGTACGAGGCCAAACCAACAAACCCAGCGAAAAAATATATGAGAAACAGTACGTACCTGACGACAGATCTGCGCGGCTACTTCGTTGTGAGGGAGACCGGCAGCCGAGAAGAGGGGGATCTTCTGTCCACGGGCCACGGAGTTCATGACGTCGATGGCGGAGATACCGGTCTGGATCATAGCCTGTTTCGTAACCACGCCAGGAATCGAGAGGTGCAGCCAAAGAACAAAAAGAAAAGGCAAGCAGGGGCCACAAGGCGGGGATTCACGTCAACATCGTAGGGCCTGTTTTTGGATTGTTTTTGGGAGCGTGTCGCGCATGGGGCCGTGGAAGATGACACGCATACTACGGAAGAGCCAAAGATGAGATGCCTAAATACGAAGAGAAAGAAAACGTAGGAGAGAAGAAGGGTGGCTTATTGTCAAGCGAGAGAAAAAAATACACTGTTTTGACTCATGGCGTCGAACTATTTAGTTGGCGCGGGAAGCCCGTCGAGAATCATGCGATTCGGACCGTTTATTCGTCAATGCCTTATAGTGCAATAAGTTGTGCGTGGGAAGAAGCTGGTTGTGAGCAACGGACATGCATCTGTATGACGAAACGTAGGAGGCGATTTCGAGGAGGGATGTTGCGGTGGGGGTTTGGTAGTTTTGCACATTATTAACCCCCCCCCCCCGTGGTGTTGAACGGTAGGAGGGAAAGCGATAAGCCAGAGTTCACCAGGCAGAGGGCAGTTTGCAATGAATACTCGATCCTCGACTACATCCTGGTAGATAGGGGGAGCACACAGGTCCCGGAGCTGCACGTAAGTGCGATAGATATAGGTTCGACCGACCATTTCCTCATATGGGCAAACATCGACCGATCTAGAAAGACGGAGAGTAAGAAAAAGAGGAAAGTGTTCCGGTGGAAAGTAGAGCGTTTGGGAGACGAGGGGACACGCGATGAATTCCAGAAGGGATTGGCTGGTAGTGTAGAACCCTTCAGGAAACTGCTGAGAAGCGTCGAAGACGGAAAGGTAGACGTACAAGCAGCAGGGGACAGGGTGATTGAAGGATGGGAGTCCATAGTGAACACAACGGCAGAGAGAGTAGTGGGAAAGAAGGTGGTACCATGTGGGGTATCGGTTAAGTGGTGGGATGACGAGCTGAAAGAAGAAATAGGGGAACGTAGAGAAGTCTTCAAGCAGTACCTGGGTGAGGGGTCTGAAGAGAGTTGGGAAAAGTACAGGGCCAAGAGGAAACAGGTGAAGGGACTAGTGAAAAAGAAGAAAAAGAGCATTTGGGACGAAGTAGTGCAGAAGGCCAACGGAGGCCTGGAGGGGAACGTCAAGCAGATGTGGGAAGGGATTAGTGGGATGGTAAAAAAGACCGCGCAAGGGGGGGATACAGGGGTAGCAACATTGCGAGGTGTGAACGGTGGACTAGTCAGCAGTGGGAAGGGAAAAAGGGAAGTTCTAGCAGGACACTACAAGAGACTTGGAGTGCCTTCGGAGAATGAAGATTTTGACCAAGTGTTTAAGAAGGAGGTGGACGCATGGGCCCAGAAAGAAGAAGAGACATCGAAGGCAGACGTTGGGAACGTAGAACTAGAAAAGGAGTTCACTGAGGACGAGGTTGAGGCGTGTGTGAACAAGCTGCAGTGCCACAAAGCAGCAGGGGCGGATGGGATAGTAAACGAGTTCATGAAGTTTGGGGGCAAGGGGATGATCCAGCTGATGGTACTGCTGTACAACTGGGTGTGGAAAAACGAGTATGCGCCAAGTAGATGGAGGGAAGGAGTGGTTGTGAACTTGTTTAAGAAAGGAGACAAGACTGACCCAGGAAACTACAGGGGTATCACACTGTTGAACACAGTAGGAAAAGTGTTCTGTAAGCTGCTGAACGATAGGATAGTGGGAGTATTGGAGAAGAAACGTAGCATTAGTGAGGGCCAGGCAGGTTTCCGACAGAAGAGGGGGTGCGTAGACCACGCATTCACGGTAGGGAGAATCATCCAAGGTAGAAAGAGGGCGGGCAAGCGGACGTACTGCTTCTTCCTGGACGTGAAAAAGGCATACGATACCGTATGGAGAAATGGGCTGTGGAAACAATTGTCCAAGTACGGGATCAAGGGGAAAATGTGGAGGGTGCTGAAGAAGATGACAGAGTGTACGAAAAGCGCGGTCATGCTAGACGGAGAACTGTCTAAATTCTTCGACATTGAGCAAGGGGTCCCACAAGGTTGCACGCTGTCCCCAACATTGTTCCAGGTGTTCATCAACGATCTGTTGGAAGTCGTAGAGGCAGTCCGGAAGGGAGTAAAAGTAGGGGACACGGAAACTTCGGTGTCAGGAATGCTGTTTGCGGATGACTTTGTTGGTATGTCGGACACCCCTGAGGGACTGCAACTGCAAATTGACGCGGCGAAGAAGTTTACTGATAAGTGGAGATTGTCTGCCAACGTTACGAAGAGTGCCGTCATGGTATGCAACGAGGGCAGGGAGGAACCAGTAGAACATAGATGGAAGTGGGGGATCGAGGAGATTGCAGTAGTCGACCAGTACACATACCTCGGAGTAGAGATCGCAAAAGATTGCTCGTGGAATGCACACATGTCCAAGGTAGCGGAAAAGGGCAAAGCACGAGCAGGGAAGCTTCACCCAATACTCGCAAACCGGCACCTTGATACACGCATCAAATTGACGGTTTTGAAGAGCGTAATCGTACCGCCGCTGGAGTACGCCGGAGAAGTATGGGAAGGAAATAAGAAGGTAGTGAAAGAACTCGAGGCGGCGCAGATGAAAGCAGCGAAAATCATCCTAGGATGCTCCAAGC